TCCACTTATCTACTGCTATTGAACAAGCCACCCCAAATTTAATGACATAAAACAGCAACCATTTTATTATGTTCACAGCTTCTTTGAGTCAAGAGTTATGACACAGCAGGGTTGGCTTGTCTCTGCTCCACATACCAGGGCGTCAGCTGAGAAGATTGTCTTGCTGTTATAAGATATCGTATTTCCCTCACATTACCAAAACGGTGGAGAGGAAGGTAAAGATGAAAAGGAGGTCCTTGTTCTTTGTTTCCTAGAAATATTCACATTATTTTTAAGTACCACACTCATGTTAAGTAGCATATCAAGATCAAGTTCATAATAAAGAATAAAAACTACTTCCAGCAGAAGTTAATTTGTACTGATATAATGTAAAATGTTCTTCTGAGAACATTTAAATTTTTTAAGATTTTATTTATTTCTTTGTCAGAGAGAGAGAATATCTACTGCAATTTTTATTTTAATTTTTAAAAATGTTTTATTTATTTGACAGAGAGAGACACAACGAGAGGGGGAACACAAGCAGGGGGAGTGGGAGAGGGAGAAGCAGACTCCCCGCCAAGCAGGGAGCCCGATGCGGGGCTCGATCCCAGGACCCTGGGATCATGATCTGAACCAAAGGCAGACGCTTAACTGACTGAGCCACCCAGGCACCCCTCTACTGAAGTTTTTAAAGAAACTACCTTAGCTACAAGCAATTGATAAGTTGGCTTGAAATTTTGTATATTAAACTTATTAGAAGGATGTCAAACAGCAGACATGGAACATTCTGAAAACCTCAGGCTGCCTCACCAAGTCAGAAAAGGAACGCAACTTGACCAGCCTGCATTTTTAATTTATAGATGCATTATTCCCTTGCTGTTAAATAAGGGCATCCAACCGATGCAACTTTATTTATAAACTTTAGTTTGATACTTCCCTCACCATTTCATAAGCAAACGTGTCTGTGACAGAGTCGTTGTTGCAACTCTAAACTACGACAAAGCCAATCTGCTTTCCTAAATGACTGTATTTGTGTCAACTCCTTGAAACCATGATGGATTAAACTGTGTCAACTCTTATATTCAAGCATGTTTTGAAGTATGAATGGAATTAATAGGTGAAGCATTCTTTAAAATGCTGATTACTGATTCATGAGCTTAACTTCTAGAATCAAAACCAAGTACATTGATTGGAAGGTGAAATGAAGGTTAATTACCTTGCTCTGCTGGTCTGCTAGTGTGTATCTGGTATTAACTAACCTGTAGAAACAGGTCTGTGAGATTTTATATTGTACGTCCTATGACTTGGTTTCAGGTAACAAAAAATACTAAACTTAGTCAACTATCTATAAACGTCTAAGCTTCACTAACTTAGAGGTGCTAATTTAGGTTTATTATGAAATGGGAATTTTACAAGTGTGTTTCTTTAGGAAGAGGGATCGATTTTTTAAAAATGTGGGATTTCAAATGCACGGTACTTAAGTCAGGGATACTACAATACATCCCTGAAAACCATTTCTTTCTTTTTTTTTAAGATTTTATTTATTTATTTGACAGAGAAAGAGAGAGTTCACAAGCAGGAGGAGAGGCAGAGGAAGAGGGAGAAGAAGCAGGCTTCCCGCGGAGCAGGGAGCCCAATGCGGGGCTCAATCCCAGGATGCTGGGATCATAACCTGAGCTGAAGGCAGCCGCTTAACGACTGAGCCACCCACGCGCCCCATGAAAACCATTTCTAAATGGGTTTTAAAAGATGCATACTTCTCTTAATGGGAACTTCTCTCCTCACAGACTAGGAATAAGATAGTTATATAGAAAGCCAAACGATACTAAGCTTAATTACACAATATATTGGTAAAACAGTGTTGGGAGACAAGGGTTAACAAGTCATTCGCAGGGTAGCTGGCACTATAAATAAGGAAAGACCCACCCTAGGTATTTGGGAGTAATCGTAGTGTATGTTAAATGACTATGCGCATACAGACTGTGAGGAGAGCAATACTAAAGATGAGATGTGTGGAGGGGTAGAAGAGATTGACTCCAAGGCAGGTTTCTTGGAAATCTGAACTGGGCATGGAAGGATGGATGGAAGCCTGAGAGATTCCAAGCAGGGGTGGCAGCAGCCTGACTACAGGCCAGATGGGAGAGGTTTAGGAAATGCTCAGCAGCATGAGTGGTGGGTATGAGGTCTGAGGCCAAAGTGCGGAGGAGGAATGTAGAAGAAAGGGCAGAAAAAAGAGGTCAAATGGTGGATTGCTTTGAGTGTCGGGTTGAGTTTAGCATCTTTTCTGTAGAAGGGGGGTTGCCTAGAATATTTGAGGAGGGCAGTGATAATGGGATTTGAGGAAGTTATTATTTTTTGGGGGTGCAAAACGATGGTTTTATTAAAGCCCAGGGACAGAATCCATGGACAGAAAGAGCGACTGCCCCGGGGTTGTGTGCCCTGCCTCATTATTAACTTGGGAGTTGGGGGTAGGGAAAAAGGGAGGTTTTCAAAAGAACTTTCATATGCTAAAGACGAACTACAAGATACTGGAAGCCTTTGCCATTGTCAAGTTAAGGTTGTTTTTTCCTTTAGTAGGACATTAACATTAAGAGAACGGAGGTCAGAGTGACCAGAGACAGGTAGGACATTGCCGAAGTTCAAGTAAGAGGGAATGCTGGACCAAGGTAGAGTGGTGGCAGTGGACAAAAGATTGGGAAGTCAAGAAATATTTCAAAGGTATACTCAACAGGATTTGACTAGGGCAATGAAAGAGGGAAAGGGTCGGATTTACTTTGTGGTTTTGGGATCTAATTCCCTTCGCCTTGAATCTGGAGCTGGCCTTAGTGATTCAGTGGTGACCAATGCAGTTTGGAGGAAGTGATACTATGTAACCTCTCAGACTAGATCAGAAGGCAACCACGCTGCCTCTGCCTTGTCTTGTTTGCTGGAATACGTGTTCTGAGCCACCTGAAGGCACTGTGGTCTACATACAGTCTTGAGTCCTGAGCTGAACCTAGCCTTCAAGTCGTCCTAGACTAGGCTTAGAGGGGTCAGATGATTTCTGGCTTGATCAACTGTAACGGCAAAAGACACATGGAAGGATAAATCATAAAGGAACAGATTATTCGGCCTTCTAATATGGCGCTCTTTAGCATAAAGAAGTTTTTTCTCTTATTAAACACTTGGTTGCATTAGGTGGGTAAGCTGAGTATAGTGATGGATATAAAGTAGTGGTTAGAAATTTGCTCCAAAGCATTTACATGCCATCCCCCAAATTTCCACCCCTTCTGACCACTAATATGCATGTATAAGAGGCCAGCAGTTAGGTGTTCAGGCCATTTGGAGGTACACACCCTGGGCCTCTAGCGACTCAGAATAAACATCAATATGAATTTAAAAGAGAAGTTCATTTTGAATAAGAGTAGAATGATCTATTTTCCAATAGTTACTCAATTCTTTCCCCCCCCATAGTTCTCATCTGTAAGAGAAATACACGGTTATTGAGAGTATGAAAAACTGATACTCTGAAATTTTGAAATTTCATCTTAGTCCAATGCCCAGACCTGACAGTCCTAAACACAATTAAATAAACTAGCAGAACTATATGCCAAGAGATTTTTATTGTAAAAAGTAAACTGAGGTTTATTTGAACATTCGTTCCTATATGCCTGTATTTTTTCATTTAATCAGCTTTATTAAAGTATAAATCACATATACAATAAAATTCCATGATTTTAAGTGCCAAGGTCAATGAGTTTTGATACATGTAAACAGTCGTAACCACTACCACAATCAATATATAGAACATTTCCATCCCTTCAAAATATTCTTTTGTTCCCTTCCCAATCAATTCCCTAGTCCTAGCCCTAGCAACCACTGACACACTTTCTCTTGTTTGAATTTTGGCTTTTCTAGGTTTTCACATTGCATAGTCATACAGTGAGTTCTCTTTTGTGTCTGGCTTCTTTCACTTGGCGTAATGCCATTTTACTATTCGCCCAAGTAGTTGTTCCTTTTCACTAATGAGTAGTATTTTCACATCCTGATACATCATCTGTTTATCCAGTCATCTGTTAATGGGCATTTCTGTTGTTTCTAAGTTTTGTCTATTGTGAATAAAGCTATGGAAATCTGAGTGCAAAACTTCTATTTTTCCTGGGTAAAATACCTAGGAATGAGGAACCATGGTTTTAGTACTAAAAAATATTTATATTTCTTTTATCAATTATCCTTTAAAAAATAAAAAATACAAACATTTCTTAGCCATATTTCATAATAAAATTTATCAGCGCATCTGTTTTAAGATAGTTGAAGAGTTCATATATTTTCCAGGCCTAAAGAGTCACACACAATCACATACATTTAACATATTCCAAGGTAATGCTTAATAATATGTAGGAAGATACTATTCCTTACAAACTTCAATATATTATGTAAAATAAAATACACTCAAAAAAAAAATTCATACTATTATATGAACAAAGAAGCTACACTAAGAATTCTGTTATGATTTTCTCTTAAGGGCAAGAGCTGCAGAATCTCTAATTTAAAAAGAGGACAATTTTAATTAGTCCACCTTCCAAAGAAATATATTTATAAAATGCCTACATGCTTCTCACACTAGTTATGTTGACTTTAATTAACGAAGAACATTATCTCTCATTTGCCAAATGAGAAACATTTCCTAACTCACAACATCCCCAGGATTGTTCTTAGTCTGAACTTCCATATAGAAAAATGTGGAATAGGAAATTTTAAATATCAGACTCCAAGGTTATAAGCTCTCACATTCAAAAGTGCAGAGAATCCAACATTAACAAATTATAGTTCTTCAAAAATCAGAACCACATCTTAGATGTCCCTTATTTAAATAACAGTGATGTCACTTCAGAGTTAACAACTACAGGGAATCACTGAATTGAAACACATGGAGAGATTAAGAAAACTTCAAGTGTTCCTAAATATCATTATAAAAGTGAACATTTTACAATATTATGATCTCTAGAGAAAGACATATAAAGATCATGATCAACGAAACTTCAGTCATGACAAAGTAAAAATTTTACCTTCCTTTCAAGCTGCTTTCTAAACGTATTAAGTCTCAACCTCACTGAATTAATGAAAATAAAATTTATCCCACAACAGATTTTTGGGGCAGAAACTAAAACTTCAACAAATACATGAAACGAAAATAGCATGAGCAGTTTCCTGATACAAACTATATTTAGATTCCCTTAGCGAAACACTTGGAAACTCAATTTCATATTTTGTAAACTAGTCATATGAAATGAGTCTAAAAGTATAAATGAGTTTTATATCAACCAATTGACGCTGACAAGCTGCCATACCACCACCTGTCGCTGGCAGCTTCCAACGGAAACTTGCAGTACTTAAAACACACGTCAGCATCTGCCAAGGAAGCAGGCTGCAGAGTGAAGACTGGAGCTCGAAGACAGTGGTTATGAACTGCCACACAGTGGTAAGGCTGCCAGCCCGGGGAACGGGGCACACATTCCGTGTCCCCCAAGCCCCAGGAAGGCCGCTCTGTGTGCATCAATGCACCCAGTCTCTCGGATGGCGCAGAACTTCCAGAATTTCCGCTTCTTTGGAGTTCTCTGGGGGTGAATGCATGTACTCCCACCTATAAAGGTCCAAAACAAAAGCAAAACATGTACTAATAATAAAAGTTATAATGAACAATACACACACCTCTTTACTTAAAATCGATGAAAAATAAAACTCTAAGAGTAAAAATGTCTTACACCTCCTTGTCTCCAATGTACCTAATATGCCTTTTACCCACTAGCCTTTTTTAAAATAGTTGCTGCTAACGAAATAAAGTATTTTAATAATTCCTGAGCATTCTTTGCCTAATATTAATATCCCAGAGCCAAAATACACTTACAGTATAAACCAGGGTTTCATAAATTGTAGACCCTCCGATGATCCATGGGCAAACTTTGTTTTTTAGCTTAATACTTATGCATTCATTTTAATGTGTTACTTCCTATTTATGGCAATAATATCGGTTTGCGTTTTTAAATAAATTCTCTCTCAGAAAAAATAAGAGTAGAAAATTTAAGTAAATAATACCTCAGATAATATACAAATATAGTCAAGATGGTTAAGCTCTAGTATGAAGTCTGGCAGATACTGGCTTAGACCAGGGGGTAGCAAACTTTTCCTGTAAAGTGTCACATAATAACTTTAATTTGGGCTTTGTGGGGCCACATACAGTCTTCTGCATATTCTTTTTTGTTTGTTTTTAATAATCCTTTAAAAATGTAAAATTCATTCTTAGCTCAAGGACTGCACGAAAACACATCACAAGTGGACCTGAATTCATCTTATAGCCTGAAGTTTGCACACCCTTGGTATAGACTGTAAGAAGCCAAAAGTGACCTGTCATGGTAACTATTCAAATGAACAAGGGACTGATGTATAATCCACCCATATCTGCAGCTTAGAATGTACCTTATAATTAGGGGCCAGTAGTAATCAAGAAGACTACTGGAGGCCTTAAAAACTTATCTCTACTTTTTGTTCACATCTCGTCTCTGGGGTGGCAGGAACACCTAGCAGTGATGTGCATGAGAGCTTTCAGCTAAGGACATGAGACCCCAAGAGCAGCAATTATACAAGGACAGAGCCAATGCCATTCGGAAGGCAGGCACAACCATACAGGGTACTAATCCCACCAGGCTAGGTCTGGACAGCAGAGCGAGGCAGGGCATTCCTCCAGTGCCATACAGCAGTCCATTCTTACTTGGACATTTACACTCATAGAAAAAAGAAGATTCTAGCTCTTATAAAACAAGCAATGTAATTTTTCTTTTTTTCTGATCTTTTCTATTTCATTCTGGACACACATCATTCTGACTTTCATATAGCCAAAAAGTCAAGTTAATTGCACCAACATAAATATATCTGTCTTTAAAATTCCCCCCCGAGGGGTGCCTAGGTAGCTCAGTCAGTTAAGCATCTGATTCATGATCTCAGCTCAGGTCTTGATCTCACAGTTTTGAGTTCAAGCCCTGTGTCAGGCTCCACAATGAGCACAGAGCCTACTAAAAAAATTCCCTCCATAGATTCAATTAACCTTTATGGAGGCTCATCACAGCAACATATAAAGCAAAAAGAGAATGCCAAGCACTGGCAACAATCCCTTATACTTTCGAACAAGCTTGATACTTCATATTGGAGAGTAAGACTCTTCCTTACAAATAAATACAACAATTTCTAACAAAATTAAGCTGAAAAACCTGACATGCTCAAATAAATTTGCTTTGCCCATAACTCTTCCTAGAAAATTACCAAGTAGGCAAGGACACCACCATCCACCCTATCTTCTTACTCCCTTCCCAGCTGTCACCCACAAAGCCATGTCATTCATCCTGCCGTTCATTCTTTAAAAGAAAAAATTATTTTCCTTATTATTTGACTGTGATTTTATTATTAAAATCAGCAAAATCAAAACCAATGAAGTCTTTAGGTTAGACATTTGCAGTGTTAACGTTCATGCTTTGTAGGGGTTAGTGGACTGAGAGTGGAGGAGTAATTATGATGAGTAATTCTTACCGAGCAGTTAGAGGTAAAGACATCAAGATGCTTTCAATCCTGGATCCTGGAGTGAAGAGGCCAAACTTTGTACCCCGATCATACAACAGGTTAAATTCTACATACCTGACATAAAGACAACAAATAACATTAAAGGCCAGTTGAATAAAATCTTTCTTAAAACTAGCCCATAACGAATACTCCAAAGGGGGTGGGAGGTTTCCTCCTTCCCATCACCCCTCCCCCTCTCAGTCAGCTGGAACGGGCACAGGGAACGCCAGTCCACTACAGCCAGCCAGCTGAGTCTTCTCCATCTGGACAGTTATAAATAAAAGGGTATTCTACCCAACAAACAATAGGATATAGATTTGGCCCCAACAGAGAGCAGTTATCAAACAGGAAGGTTATGTTTTCCAATAAACAGAATGGACACAAAGCTGAGAACTTTAAGGCACAAAAACAATTAAGAGAAAGAAATGGCACCCTTTATCAGGATAGAACAGTTCGTTCTGGCCTTCCCCCGTGGTCTGAGAGGTTTCAGAAGACTTCATTTTACCACCTATAACTTCCACATACTAAGATCTAAAACTTTTGTAATTGAAAGGCCAAGTACAGCTAACGGCAATCTATTAATAATTACTAATATATCCTAGAGATTTCCTTTTCCCAAAGTAGTTAATAGCATTGATAAGCAGTCATATAATTCAGTCTCCTTGCAGATTAACAGCAATCAATAAGCAGTGGTTGAGTTGCAGTGCTCAATTTCATTTTGCTAAGAAAAATATCCTTAGCATCAACTAAAACTTGGTTCAATAAATTTATTTCCATTAACTGCCATGGGGTCAGATCTAAACTCTGTGTAGCTTAAAAATCTCTGACTGCCTTTAACATCATGGGATCTTTTATAAAAGCTCATTTAAACTTCAAAGATAATTTTTACTACTGATATGGATTTAGAATGACACATAAAGCTGAAAATTCAATGAATAGTCCCCCTTTCAGATCATTTCTCAACTCATGCAGAAACTACTCTCTTGGTCTAAACTTCCCTCAGATAGTCTTGTTTACCCACTGATTCGTCTTTAATCACACCTGGAGGAAGATAACCTCTAGAATCCCAAAATACTTGAATTTTTAGAAAACACACTTCTGTGTGCAAACTTGCCAAAAGCCCTGAGAACATTTAAATAAATTATATCCATGGATCCCTTTCTAGGCCTCAGTATTGATTCATCACAGATTGAATTTTGTGTATTAATAACTAATACCTTCGTATACCTGTTTCAAAAGATAATATAAAGCAAAACTTCTTACTTTCTTCCTAAGACCATGGAAAAGAATTTCAGCCTTCAGTCACCTTTTTTCACCCCCAATGCTGCCTTTCTGAAACAAGGTATTTAAGGGATGGCTGTGATTCTCTAATTTGTATGGATGTCTCTTTCAAAGGCCCTTGTAGGGAACTCCCTAAATGAATTTTCTGTAAGGATCCCTGTACTGCTTTCCTTTTTTGAGTGAAGAATGCCTCTCTGACTCCTACCAGGTTTCACTTAGATCTAATCTTTCTCTTCCTTCTCATATATTTATCTTCTCTGAGGTGCCCGCAAACCATGAACCTTAGCCATTCCCTTCGATTTAACAGATGCCTAAATTTTATCCTGTTTCCCTTTCCTAAAACACAGCAAAGAGACAGTAAGTTAAAGATCTTTATTTTCTGGAGTGCCTGACTGGCTTAGTCGGTAGAGCATGCGACTCCCGATCTGGTGGTTATGAGTTTGAGCCCGACGCTGGGTGTAGAGAGTACTAACGTACATACGTACACACACACATACAATACATAAATACAAACATACACTCAGTCAATCAGGGAAGCTCCTATTTGGGGCAGAAGGAAGTGGAGTAAGTGTAACCTGTGAAGGATACAGATGGGGTGAGGAGCGCCGTGTGTAAGAAGGTGACAATGCGGACAACCGTAGGGAAGAGCTGTTGTTTATCTGAAGCCCCAGAGTTTAGGGCCATCTTAAGGCCCAGAGATAAGGGTGGAAGAAGGAGGTTCTCTGTGAGAAAGTCACAAAAACCAAAACCAACACAAAAAAACACCAAAAAGAACACAAAACATGGTTCCTATGTCTCATAAGTTTTAAGGTTTCACCTAATTCATATTCACAAAACTTGTCAGCTTTGCATATAAAATCCTATGCAAAACTAGAACATTGCCCTTTCCAAAGGTGGTTTTTTTTTTAAATAAATTTTTATTGGCTATTTTATTGACATAACTGTTACATTAGTTTCAGGTGTACAATATAGTGATTCAACAATTCTGTACATTACTCCTCGCTCATCACCAAAAGTGGACTCTTAATCCCTTCACCGTATTTCACTCACCCCCCACACCTCCCTGCTGGTAACCACTAGTTTGTTCTCTGTATTTGAGTCTAGTTTTGTTTGTTTGTTTGTTTCTGGCTTAGTCGGTGGAGCACAAGACTCTTGATCTAGGGGTTGTGAATTTGAGCCCCACGATGGGTGTAGAGAGTACTAACATACATACATATATACATACGTACATACGTACATACAATAAATAAGAGAAGCTCCTACGTGGAGCAGAAGGAAGCGTCTAACATATTGGCTGGCACATAGTAAGGACTCCATAATTAGTTAATATTGTCATTAACTATAAATAATTTCTGAAATGATTATGTCCATCATAACGACCTCCATGAAATCTTAAAGATGAATGGAGAAGTATGGGATTCCAAATTTATAAAGCAGCAAAAACATTAAATGATGCCCCTATCTTGGCATAAGGCTGGAAGGTATTGCTAGAAGACTAAAAGAAAACAGCTGAATTAAATTCAGCAAGTACCACTACATGGCTGCTATGAGTCGCTAATGTACAGACAAATGAAATAAATTTTTTTTAAAGTTTTTATCTCTTTGAGAGGCAGAGAGAGAGACACCATGGTGGGGCGGGGGGGAACGGGGAAGGAGCAGAGGGACCCGGAGAAGCAGACTCCCCACTGAGGAAGGGAGCCCGATGCGGAGCTCGATTCGAGCACCCCGAGATCACAACCAGAGTCGAAGGCAGACGCTTACCCACCCAGGCGCCCCAACTTTGCTTTTTACAGTACTATTGCACACCATTTTTAATATTCATTTAATATTCATCTAGTTTTAAAAAAGCAGCTCTGGATAGTCTTAACACAACCCTAACAAGACAACAAGCTCCCACGATGACTCCCAATGCTCCACCTTGCCACGCCAATTACACAACAGGGCAACCCATTCTCCTGTTGCCACTCACCGCCCTCTCCGGAGCTGCTGCCACAGCTTCTCCTGGGGTGTGAATAAGTCATCACGGTGCTTTTTCACAAGAGGAACGTAAGAAGGAACGATAGCCTGGGCGCAGCTCTGCACAAAGTGAAACACTTCCTCCTTGGATGGAGAGTCAAGGTCATCAAAAAAGATGCCCCCGATGCCCCTCCTCTCCCCACGATGGACGATAAAGAAGTAATCATCACACCTGGGAAACACAGCAGGGCCATGGCAAGGATCAAAGGGGGGGGGGAAGACATGAAAATCAGTGTGAGCATTTCAGCGTGGCGCTCTCTCCTTGACTCATGCCAATACGGTGTCCTTACTTTCTGTCTGGCTATGAAAACGAAACTAGGGCTTTCGACGGACTTCCTGCAGTCAGCACCCATGTAGAAAATGCTTACGCTTTCATCTGCGAAGCAAGGAAGGAATTTAACACATGTCTATCGAAATCATATGGAACTCTAAAAACTTTAGTGAGGAAGAAACAAAGAGCGCAGTATTAATAGGGTATTTCTTAAAACAAGTGATGTGACTGCCCTTGGCAGCACTGTGGCTTTTGCAGGAGGCAAGACAAGAATCCTCTACCAGCAGCAACACTAACCAGGTCTGCGTCTGGGCGCCAACCCTTCAGCTCTTGAGTCAGTTCTTTCTTCACCGAGGGAAGGTACAATAAATAATCTCTAAGGTCTCTTTCAGCAATAAACCGTGGAGGCCCCAGAGCATGCAGGGCTGAGGGAGGGGCTGGTGGAAGGAGACGCTCAGAGAACACCTACAGACATACAAAAGGTTCCCCTGTGAGCCAGCACATCAAACGAGCCACCTGGTCTTGAGTCTTCCCCCTCTTTGTGCCGACTAGAGCAGGTTTCTTAAATGCTAAATTTGTAGACTACTTTACATGGTTGAAATGGCTTGTTAGATGATCTCTAGAAGAATAAGGGTCTGTAAATAGAAAAACCTGAACAAAAACTAAAAGCTATTTAAAAGGTTCTATTAAAAATAGCCTTAATAAAAAACCTTAATAGCTTAAAAAAAAAGGGTAGCAGCTGCAAATCCCTAGAGATGATGCATTGGTCTAATTCACCTGGACTGTGCCTTGTTGGCTTTCCTTTACATGCACATTTTATTAACATAGTTGAAGTACATCCTGAGCAACGTTGTGAAGTCAGCTTTAACCAAATCACACTATTTCAAAAGCTCCATGAAGTTATGAAATTAAGAAATGTTCTAAATACTTACACTAAAAACTTCTTTTTAACTAGCCTACATCCTACATATCTTAGTAACTAATGTCAATGGGGTCATCTCAATAACAGCAGTAAAAGGAAACCAAAAAATGATGTCACCCATACCCATCCTCCTCCTGGAAGGATGCTGATTTGTGAGAGAAAAAAAAAAACCACCCTCCCTCACACATCCAAGCTTCCACAGCTGTGCAGTTTTCAGGGGTAGTACCAATCAAAAGGAGAATATGTCTTTTCCGAGGATTTTAAAAAACTGAACTCCAAATCTTACATAAATATCAAGATTCCAGTTATTTGCACTAAAAGCTAAGCAAAGCCACCCCCCCCCAAAAAAACACAAACACCAAAACCTCTTCTGTTCTTCCTTTTTCAAGAATGCCAATTAGCTCTAAGTAGAATTGGGGGCTTTACTCTTATTCCAAACAATTTATGCCTAGACTCCATTTCACATTTACCAAATATCCTGGATCTCCTCACAACTCATTTCCCTTTCCTTTATCATTAGAGTTTCTTTAACAGAGTTTCTAATCCCACTCTTCTCCTTGTCCAAAGCATCTGGTATATTTGCATCTTTCCCTAATAGTTCTCCAACCCTTCCCATGTCCTAATATTCCTGTGGCAACAACAGTTCTCATCTAGGATGAGAAGTTAATATCCCACCCGAGGATTAAAAAGCTTCTAATTCTGAGGTATAGATCATGTTAAAATGTATATCCTAAATCATTTGGGATCAAAAAAGATGCTGCTACCCAATTTTTATTACAGATATTCAAATATTTCTAAGTAAATATTTCTAAGTAAAACCACTTCAAACTGGTATCCCACTTCCAGTGGGCAGAGAAAACAGATGAACCCTCATAAGATGAAAAAGGTCTTTAGTGACACAGTAGTTGCCTTCAGGATCTACAGAAGGAAGGAATGAAATATATTTTAGGTGTCAGGACAATACCTTTACTTACCATTTTTTAAATTTAGGGTAGAGATCGGGACCATGCTGGTCACAAGCCTCCTTTAGAGTTCTGTGAAAATGGACAGCATCGTCTTGGTTCAAGTATGTTGGAGTAAGGTCACACCCACCACCAAACCACCACTGCTTGTTACCTACAAAATCAACACACGAGATTCTCATGTAGGCTTTGGGCTCTGAGACGTAGCACTCTACTCACTGTATTTACAAACCGAATTTATCAGCTTAGCTTTTTAATCATGAAATGTGTGACAATCAAAAAATATTTAACTAAATTTAGTTCTGAATGGCCAGTAAAGCCTCGGCAGGAAAGAAAAGGTAAAAGCAGAAAAAAAAAGAAGTAGGAAATTTAAAAAGCGAGAGAGTAGAACCAGGAGGAAAAGGACATGCACGGCCGTGAATGACGAAACATCATGTGGCTGGACTCCGGCTGCGTATCAAATCACGGGAGGAGCGTAAAATGCCTCTGTTAGGTCACAATTTAAAAAACAAACAAAAGACAAGCAAATCTCTGGTCCAAGCATCCACAGTTTATAAAAACTCCTCAGGAGATTCTGATGTTCCCTGTATTAAAAACCACTGCCCCACTCCCCTTACCCCAGAAGGGGTTAAAACGTTTGTAGAGGGACACAACTTACCATTTGAGACTATTTCATGTGCTTAGTCGGGTCTATAAATTGTTAGTACCAGTTACCAACTTCTAACATTAAAAGGCTGGACCAAACTAAATGTCTTCAAAATGCAAGTTAAATACATGGACTTTAAATACCATCACCCGCAGAGACACCCACAGCCCCAGAGGCACTGCACAGATGCTCCGCCGGTTGGGAACACTTGGCCCAGCTAACTGCAGACAGGGGCTGGAACCACATGTCCCTATGTGGCACCATCAATCCCATCTTAAACCCACTGACAATGTGCTGGTGACCAGTGAGGCAATGCATGTTCCATAAGCAAGTTCTCTATTTCAGTGTAATCTTGTACGTAAGGTTTTCCTTTGGATTTCCTTTCCTGTGCAAAGAACCCTGCATGCATTTTGAGTTTGAGATTCATTAAATCAGTCCTTCTGTGTTGGAGGAAATATGGGGAAGTCAGAGCCCAGCCCATACTATTTTCTTCTTTTCACCTCCAGCACATAATCCATTGCACCTGCCAAGGGATCGGGCTTCATCTGCCTCCTGAAAAACCTAGTTAAGGTTTATATATTCTTTCTCACACTTAGATTATACCCTCTAACTTGTTTTAAGACACACAGTTTGCACAATAATATTTTGCACAGTTCCAGGGATGCTCACCATCGGCCTCTTCTACTTCAAAGTATCTATAGTTGAAATGGACAGTAGGAGCATGAGGGTTCTTGGGGTGGATAACGGAGCTCACACCCAGAGCAGAAAATGGCAATTTACCTGGAAAGTGAAACATACAGTGAGTGGCACTCAATCAGCCAGCTTGATTAACGCCAACACAGTTTCTGGATCAGTTGTCAAAAGCTGCTTTTTGTCTCTTAAAAAACAATTTTTAAAAAGGAAATGTGAACATGCTTCTCTGGCATACGCGACCAAATGGATTTTTACAGAAGCACTACTAATTTTACACATAAAACTTGTGGGGGGAAAAAAGGTTTGCAGGGACTATTACAGGCTGTGGATACTCTTGATTTACCATCTTTAGTCTTCAGAATTTTTCCTCGGCTTCTCATTTGTTTTGCTGCTTCCTCAGAAAGATTCCCATGAACAACAGAAATGCTCACCCCAGCCTTTTCAAAAACATGCCCATCTTGAAGTACACAGCTGATGCCGCCACCTCCTGTTTACAGAAATAGAAAATGAGGAGACAGTATAAGGGTAGAAGCAAAATCCAAAACAACCCTTGCATGAAGGTGGTGGGATTAGGAGTTATTTTCCTCCTTTATTTTCCAAATCTTCTATAATATCAGTATATTTGAAATTTTTAAGTACAATAAAATTAGATAATCAGCTTAGCTTGATGACATTGCTACTGATAGTGGGCAAATATTGTATCTCCCCCACATCACTAAACTGAGGATTTCTTCCACATCTGAAATAAATCACACCAATATTTTCTCTTCAACTACTGTTCAGAATGACATCCACTGGTTATGATATGTGAGAGAAGGCTGAGTTTAAAAACAGGTATGGGTATATTTGTGGAATGTTCTATTATTACCGAGTTTAAGAGCTCCATATTATTTCAATTGCTTCTTCTCAGTGTGTTACCATTTAATTTTGTTTACAGGCAATTAAAAAAACGGTAGATAGTCGAACTCTTCAGGGATTTGGAGGCTTAAACTAAGACACACATTAATATTTAGGTATCTGAGCTTTATTATTAATACTTTGTTTTTAAGACACTAGAGTTACTACCAAGGCAACTGTTTCACGGAAGTACCTATTTGTCTTGTTTTATTTCTAAGAATTTTTAGAGCTGGTTGTGACGTAAGATGATCCAGTACAACACCCCCCCAACCCCTGCACATTTCTAATGAGAAAATGAGGCCCAGAAAGACAAAACACCTTATCCATGATCACACAGCTGTCAAGTGGCCCAAACAATGTCTTTCTATGCATCAGACAATATTTTAAGCACTTCATTCTTCACCCTCATATATTATTTCTAATCTCATTTCATATATGAGTTAACAGAGGCACACAAAAAATTAAGTAAGTTCTGAAGGCCACACTAGCTATTCTAGTACTTGAGGTAGTGGTTCGGTTCAATGGTCTTCACTTGAAAACATGACAAGATGGAAAAAACTTTGAAGACCAGATTTAACTTCATTTAATGTAGATGTGGCAGTATCACAGCTCAAAATCTGCTGATGAGAGGCTGCTGTAGTATTCCTAGCTAAGAAGTCAGGAATTCTTCAAGTTTATGACCAAGATGGGGAGTTTCACTCCATAGGCAATAACATGGTCAGGAATACATGATTCTATAAAAACTGGGTTTTTCATTGTTGAAGTATTATTGACATATAACATATTAGTTTCAGGTGTACAACGCAATGATTCAATATTTGTATACATTGCAAAATAAGTCTAGTTACCATCATCAGTTACAAAATTTTTCTTACAATGAGAATTTCCAAGATCTATTCTCTTAGCAACCTTAAAACATGCAATATTTTTGACAATAGTGACCATGCTGTACATGACATCCTATGACATATTTATGTTATAACTGGGAGTTTGTACCTCTTGATCCCCTTCACTCATTTTGCCCACTCCCCTCACCCCCTCCTTCTGACAACCACCAATCTAAAGAACTAGGTTTTAATACTGAAGTCTTTTTGCCATTGGAAAGAAAGATTTTCCTAGCAGGAATTCTGATGCGTGCATTTGGAAGAATTACTGACAAGCCAAATATTTCTTGTGCAACTTAAGAAAAGACATACTGACACAATTACACCCTCGGCTGGAGGAGTCTGGCCAGATACTTAGCAAAGAGGAGGAAAGTTCATCTTTCCATCTCTAAAGGAGGAGACAGGGTAAATGCACCCAGAGAAACAGATGAAATGTGGGTAAGATCGATGCTCAGTTACAACTTTAGACATCCAAGCTTGTTGGCTAAAAATAACCACAGGGCTTCTAGAAAAGGCCATCATAAAATCGCATAGAATTTAGAATGTACACTTTTAGAGTGACCAAAGATATGCATCCATACGTCTGATGCCCCTTTGAGTATCCATCTTTCTAAAGGTGTCCCTTCTAACCTAGCAGCCTCTCTTTTAGGTACCTCTTTCCTACTCTCATCCACTATTCTCGTTTTCTGTCAGCAACCTAAAGTCCGACCTCTAATTGCCATCTCCACCTCCCGCTAGGGGCCTCCTCACCTTCTTTCCTCTCCCACCGGTCCACGGAGAAGCGGGCGCCCCCGTCTACCTGTGCCAGCGCCTGGCACACCTGGGCCTGGGTCTCCAGGATCAGCAGCTCCATCTTGGTCTTCATGTCGCTCGGCCTCCGCCGCAGCTCGCGCAGGTCTGTCACAGGAAGGGCCATGAAGCAGCTGCAGCGGCGGGTCAGCTCATCGTCCTCCTCCGGCCTCCCGGACGAAGGGCTCCGTGCCCCCGAGCTCTTGGGCACCATCTCCGCCCGCTCTACGTGCCCGAAGGCGGCGGCGGCCAGCCCCGCCAGCCCGGCCAGCCCCGCCAGCGCCGCGGTCAGCCCGGTCCCCAGCCGGGGGCCTCCTCCCGCCGTAGGGATGTGCCCCAGCCCCCGGCACTGCTCGGTGCCAGCCGCGCCCGGGGGCCGGCAGAGGCGTGCGGCCGTGCAGCGCCCGGACCAAGCGCACAGCCCTCCGCGGCCGTCCCGCGCAGCTCGCCAGCAGGAGCCCGCGCTCAGCCTGCCCAGGTGCAAGGCCATGCTCCCGCGCTGTCACCCCTGGCAATGGCCACGTCCCGGAGACCTGCCCCTGAGCTCCCTGGGAGTCCCAAGCTGGCAAGCCGCTCTGGGAGAGGGAACCTTTGGCGGAGAAGAGCTACTACCGGGTCAGTTCCCGGGCTGCCGGCGGGAGGCGGTGGATGCTGGGAGCTGTAGTCCAGCTCCTATCGCCGCCTGCAGGGGCGCGCCGGGGAGATAAAGACTCCACAGTACCCCCCCAGAAGGGCGGGTCCCAAAACAAGGGAACTGGGTGCCGAGGAGGCGAGGGGCGGCTGAAGCGAAGGCAGAGATAAGAGGCTTTCTGGTCACGTACAACTTCTGTTCTGCTGTCCAATCAACCACAGGGAGAAGAAGGGGCTGAACGCTGAGGACTAACGGGGCAGAAATATGGCCCGAGACCCCTGCCCCAATTTACATTTTCAAACAGGATTGCAAATCCTGGTTCTGAATCTATAGACAGACCCTTTGAGCCTGGTTCCAGTTCATGAGACCTTCTAGAGCTTGCAGGATTGGCTGGGGGCGGAGCCTGGTAGACTCCTTACTTACCAGCCCTTCCTAAGGGGAATCCGCAAGGGCAAGCTAGTAAAGGGCGCGTAAGAAAATCCTAGTAAAAGACTTTCTGGGATCAATTCATATCACAGTTCATCATTAAAATCTTCCCAGGTCTTGCTCCTGCACTGCCCACTTGATTATTTTAGAAATAGGAAAAGCAAAGTGATTGTTTTACTAAAGCAGCATAAAACTAATGACCTGGTGTGTTTGGGTGACCAAGGAATAACAGATTTAAAAATAGTTAAAATCGGGGACACCTGGGTGGCTCAGTCAGTTAAGCGTCTGCCTCTGGCTCAGGTCATGACAGGGTCCTGGGGTCCAGTCCCGTGGGCTTCTTGCTCAGCAGGGAGCCTGCTTTTCCCTCTGCCTGCCGCTCCCCTTGCTTGTGCTTGGTCTCTGACAAATAAATAAATAAAATCTTTTAAAGAACATAAAATAAAAAATAAAAATACTTAAAATCCTACAGTTGTGGGGTGCTGGCAAGTATTTCTAACCTGTAGTACTTTCAACAACTCCTGTAAACTAGGTCCGGCAAACATTCACACTGCTTCCTCCCTGCTACCCTCAACACACACAGGCACGCGCGCGCGCGCACACACACACTCTCTCTCTCTCTCTCTCTCTCTCTCTCTCGCTGTTTTAAAAAGAGGAAAGAAGCTAACATAGATTTGACAGATTTTTGTTGTTTTTGTTCCTGTAAGCATACCACAGTTCTATGTTGTCTAGACATAAAAGTGTTAGAATGACTGTCATGGAATGATTTTAATTTCTAATGGGAGATAATAATTTAAGCCACTGGTGGTGGTCTCTACAAGTTTTTTCTTAGTGGCTAGATGCAGTGATGGAACTTCCATGGCTATGGGTCAGACCAGCTGTTCAAGCCAGTGTATCTTATCCATCTGCAACTGCATCTGGCAACTCTCATACTGGGACACAATGTTAGCTGCGTAGCAGGCTTGACTGGCTAGCAGATTCAATGAAAGGTAAAGGCTTGGATTGAGAAGTGAATAAACTACCTGGGAGCGGGGGGTGGAGAAAACCAATGGCTTTTAGCCATAGTGTAACATGCTGCCAGGCTGAGTTGCAGGAGGAAAGGGAAGATAAGAACTATCACTTCAGGGAGGGCTGTTTGCTTCTCCTAGATGCCTGTGATAGGGTTTGGCTGGACCTGTGTAATTGAACCTCATTAATGGAAAAAAAACTTCTCTAGCCCATCTTTCTATAAGAACCCCCTTTCATTATTGCTCTGATTCTGAGAATCATAAAGCTAGGAAAAGATAAGCAGGCACAGGCCATTCTGAACATATGCCCAGTCTAGTTTGTACTAGTTTGCATGTTTCCATACCTCCCTGTCCTTAGCCTCTCTGTGCAAAGGGCTCCTCTCCTTCCTGCTGATATCCAGAGCCCTCCCTACCCTACCTAATTATACTATGCTTAAGAAAGGCCTTTACGGCTATCAACCTTAAAAATAAAATAACCAGTTATTTAACCAACAAAGATGAGTTTATCTGGGAATAGCAGAGGTATTGCAACTCAGGACATGCAGACTACAGCACAAAGAGGCAAGAATAATAGAGAGGAACAAAGAACAGAGGAGAGGGACTTGCTTTTATAGAGGAAAGGAGGGAGCTGGAAGAGGTTGTTTTGGAGGAAAGTTCACAGGAGGAGGAGGAGAGTTCCACGTTGTGGTGGCTTCTAATTGGCTGGGTTGTTGCTGGGTGAGGAGAAAATCTTCCTTCTTCCTACAGGGTTATGTAAAGTAAGCTGTGACCAATACTGAGTGAGCATCATCCCTTCATTGCTCCCGACCCTATTTTGAATTAGGTTTTCTTTATTCATTTTCACACAGCCTGGTTAGTATGAGTTTAAATCATCTTCCTGGGATACAAATTGTCTCCAAGGGATTTAAGCCTTATTTTTCAGGGTGGAATTAAAAAAAAAAAAATCCCCTATTCAAACAATTTCAAGCATCAGAAAGCTAGTGGGAACAAATAATAAGTTTACAATAACTTATAAAACATAAGGAGTAAGGTAAGCGTTCTCATCCTTTTTTGAGCCCAGTTGCCTGTACCGCTTTATGTTCTATATGATGCTACCAAGCAAAAAGATTCTGAATAGCTTTACACAAACTCATGAATTTTTGAAACTCCACATGCTTCTCAGAACCCTTATGAATTTTTCCCCTCCTCTATTCCCTAAAGACTTGAACATAACTGACTTTAGGCCAGCCCTTTTCTAGAGAGAGTCGGAAGGAACTCTGACTTCACCCCCCTGACAGCCTTATACCCTTTTAACAACACACACACACCCACACACACACGCACACACACAGAGAGACTCATAAGTCCCACTAGCTTTACTAAATTGTACTATTTTCACCAATTCCCGAATTTTAAGATCTGAACTTAAGAAATGCATGATCGAAGTGACTCAGTTCTGCTACTCCCAGATAAATAATTAGACTCAGGCTAGTTATTAACAAAGTATTGCCAAACAGATGTGTTTACCTTGATGCACTTCTGCCAATTTATTAAAAATTCTAATGGGGATGTTGGTGGGGTGGTGGTAGTGAAATTAACAAAAAAATGAACTTTTTGATATTTTTACGCTTTTTTTTACAATTTATTTTTTTAAATGTTTATGTCTTTAGAGGCAAGTATTTACATACTTCATTAAAGCAATTGGTTCTTAAAGTTAAATGTAGGTTAAATATCCAATGCAATTTGGTGTTGCTGTCTTGCTTTTTCTTTAACTGAAATAATTTTAAAATTAGTTTTTCAGAGAGGTATAGATACCACCCAAATATTCCAGAAAAGTTTTATGAAAGGGAGGAGTCCTGGTGCCTGCCCCTTAGCCTTTAGCCTTTTGCCTTTAGCCCCTCCATATTTTTTCTCTACAGTAATATGCATATATCTGGAGTTGCAGCAATCATTTGTGATGAAGATTATAAAGGTCACATGAAAAAGTTTGCAGAGCAGTAAGATAGAAGTAGTCTGGGTCCTGATACATCCTTGAGCAGATGTCATAGCCCTGGGCTGGAGTTCTTGTTATATGAGAAAAAAAATAAATTAAGGTGCTGTTTGTCAGCTTAAGTCTTTCTAACATCCTAATTATTCCATCTTGATTTGGATGTCCACCCTAGAACCAACCAATAATGGCCAGGGGTAAAGGATGGAATCATGTTAGAACATGATGACCTCCCACTATAACTGGGGGGAATGGTAAATGTGGGATATCATTTCTAGAAAAAAAGGAAATAGGATAAGCAGACAATACCACTGATGCTCACTGTAGAAAGAAATTTAGGAAGATAATTCTGGGGCATTGAGCTTGTGAATCTAAGATGAACAAAAATATGGAATTAAGAAAGAAGTAGCAAGTTTAGGTGTATAGGAGGTAATAGGTTTAATCTTGACAATTATTAAAAGTTATTTCTACTGGAGCTGGGTGGCTTAGTTGGTTAGGCAGCCGACTCTTGATTTTGGCTCAGGTCATGATCTCAGGGTCCTGGGATTCAGCCCCACATCAGGCTCCATGCTCAGCCGGCAGTCTGCTTGGGGAGTCTCTCTCTCCCTCTCCCTCTCCCCTCCTTCTCTCAAATAATAAATCCTTAAAAAAAAAAAAGTTATTTCCACCAGTTCAGCCAAAGTCTCCAGCTGTTCCATTTGCCTAGGTACAGAAGCTTCCTGATTACCTCACCCCTTCACTATACAGTGCTCTCAACAACAGTTCTCAGAGGCTTAAGAATGCCATGGGTCCAGGCGCCTGGGTGGCTCAATCATTAAGCGTCTGCCTTCAGCTCAGGTCATGATCCCAGGGTCCTGGAATCAAGCTCCACATCGGGCTCCCTGCTCCACGGGAAGCCTGCTTCTCCCTCTCCCACTCCCCCTGCTTGTGTTCCCTCTATCACTGTGTCTCTCTCTCTCTCTGTCAAATAAATAAAATAAAAATCTTAAAAAAAAAAAAAAAAGAATGCCATGGGCCAACTGAAAGGAAGAGTTGTTTGGGAAGATGTTGGGACAAACTGTTGGGGCCTATGCAGATATCTCTTCTGTTTTGGCAATCAAGAAACAACAGGGATGGGGCAATAAGACATCAACAGCAATAAGAAAAACATTTAACATTGCTCATGTGTATCTGCGTCCATGGTGATTTCATGGCACTTGCAAATGGTGGTATTTGCTCAAGATATACAAAGATGCTTTCGCTCATGTCATGGTGAATTCATCTCATCTGGTGAACTAGAATGCTCTCTTGGAAAATACACATCTAAGACTTTTTAACTTAAGCCCATATCAACATCTTTTTAAATTTAGGAGTCAAAAATCAGTTCCCTTAGTTCTCTGCATCTATCTACAGCAACATTTTCTTCTATGTCTATTGTTCAGCTAGGACCAGGACCTCTTTCTAGAAGTGATGAGGTTGAATGAAAGCAGAGGGAGATGGATGCCTGGGTGGCTCAGTGAGTTAAACGTCTGCCTACAGCTC